TGACAAAAAGAAAATAGAGAAAAAGGGATTGGTCTGTGAGCACTGCAAGAGAACAGGTCATAGCAAGGGCACTTGCTTCAAACTCTATGGCACTCCAGAGTGGTTCAGAACCATTCATGATAAAAGGAAAAGAGAAGGCAATGGGACCTCTCAAATACTGAAGCAACCTTTCAAGTTGCTGCTGAAAATACTTCCACAGCTACAACCAGTGGATGGAACACTGATGCTCTCATAGAATTGATTCAAAAGGAAATTAAGAAACTTTTTGAGAATGTGAAAACACCACTTGATCATCTCAACATGTTGGAGATTGATCACCCAGGTAAAGAGTGCTTAAATATTTCGAATAACTCTAACAATCATAGTTCTTGGATCTTGGATTCAGGGGCAATATGTCATGTTAGCAATAATCCTGCTCACTTCAAATACTTGGAGCCCCTGAAACAACCAGCCAAGATACACCTACCAAATGGGACTACTCAACTTGCTACTCGTATAGGAAATATTGAGCTGAATGATATAATCACCTTACATAATGCTTACCTTATTCCTGGATTTAAGTATTGCTTGATATCTGTACATAAGTTGTGCTTTGATTCCAATGTATCAGATGAAATTTATGGCTAATAACTGCATCATCCAGGACCAAAGAAGTGAAGAAAGAGTAGGCAGAGGCAAGCTCAAGGGTGAACTATATCATCTTCTGTTAGATTCATCCTTGCAGATCATGGCAGCTAAGAAGAATTGTCCCTGGCATTATAGACTTGGACATCCATCTAATAAGGTTCTTGAACACATGGCTTGTGGCCAAAATACTGTTTTAGCTGATAGACCCTGTGATACTTGCCACTTTGCCAAACAAAAAAAAATGTTCATTTAATGAAAGTGGTTCTTATGCTCCTAGTTGCTTTGAGTTAATTCATCTTGATATCTGGGGTCCATATAGCATTGCTTCTTCAAATGGAAGTAAATACATCTTGAATATAGTTGATGATCACAGTAGGGCTACTTGGACATACTTGATGAAGCTAAAATCACAAACTTCTATTGTATTCTCTGTTTTCCTGAAAATGGTGGAAACACAATTTAACTTGAAAGTAAAGAGGGTAAGAACATACAATGGAACCGAATTCACCAGCTGGAATTTTCAGCATGTGCTGCAGGAATATGGAATACAACATCAGAAGTCATGTCCTTACAATCCTCAGCAAAATGGAAGGGCCGAAAGAAAACACCAGCATCTATTGGCGGTAATGCGAAGCTTACTGTTTCATTCGAATCTGCCCACATCATTTTGGGGGGAAAGCTTTACTTACAGCGACATATTTTATTAACTTGTTGCCAACACCGATTCTTGAATGGAAGTCTCCATATCAAATCTTGTACGGTGTTGAACCTTCATTGGAGCACTTGAGGGTATTTGGGTGCCTTTGCTTTGACTTAAATACAGACCCCCACAAGTCTGAACTTGGCAAAAGAGCAATAAAGGGAATATTTATAGGGTATAAATCAGGAAAAAAAGGCTACAAAATCCTGGATCTTGAAACAAATAAGGTTACACTATCGAGAGATGTGGTGTTTTATGAAGAGATGTTGCTTGGTGTATCTTCTGATTCTAATTTGACTGAAAGGCAGCCCTTAACTATAGTGGATGGAATGCAATACCGTCCTCAATTTCTTGAGGAAGCTATATCCCACAACAGTCATACTCAGCAGGAGATTTCAGATCTTGAGGAAGCTACATCCTACAACAGTCATACTCAACAGGAGATTTCAGATATTGATGTTTCGCAGAAATCTTCCAAATCTGAAGAGCTTTCTCCCAGTACTGAAAACTTGCATTATGATCCTAATAATGTAGCCCCAGAAAATACTCCTACAGAGATGGCCTTACGGCCCCAAAAGAGCAACAAAGAAACCTTGTTGGATGAATGAGTATTTGTGCTATAACATTAATCTTCTTGAGGATGAAGGTGGTGAACCACTTACATATGTTGAAGCTGTTAAGAAGCCTCATTGGGTAGCAGCCATGAAAGAAGAGATTATCGCACTGGAAGCCAATAGGACTTGGGAATTAACCCCCTTACCAAAAGAGAAGAAGACAATTGGATACAATTGGGTGTACAGAATCAAAAGGAACAAAGATGGTACTATAAACAGGTTCAAAGAAAGACTGGTGGCTAAGGGATATCTTCAAAAATATGGAACTGACTTCAATGAATGCTTTGCCCCTGTTACCAAAAGTGTAACAGTGAGGTTAGTCATCGCAGTAGCCATTACAAAGGGATGGAGCATTCAGCAAGTGGATGTTAATAACGCTTTCTTGCATGGAACATTGGAGGAAGAAATCTACCTTAAACCCCAACCTGGATATCTTGTTGGTTTTGGTCAAGTTTGTAGACTCAAGAATTCTCTTTATAGTCTTAAACAAGCCCCCCGAGTTTGGTACAAAACTCTCGCTGAAAAGGTAACTCAGTTCGGTTTTGAACAATCTCCTCATGATCACTGTTTGTTCATTAAATATCATAGAACAGAGGTGTTGATCTTAACGGTGTATGTAGATGATATTCTCTTGACAGGGTCATGCCTAAACCTTATACAAGAAGTCAAAGCCTATCTCCATGAAGCTTTTACAATAAAAGATCTTGGCGATGCTAATTTTTTCCTTGGAATAGAGATTATACAGCTGGCTAAAGGGATAGCCCTCTCCCAAAAGCAGTACATCTTTGACATACTAGATGACATGAAAATGTTGGATGCCAAATCCATCTCTACTCCTCTACCTGTTGGCTTAAAGCTTTCCATTACTGATGGTGAAATTCTTGCAGATCCAACACAGTATAGGAGACTGATTGGAAGGCTCTTGTACCTCAACTTTTCTAGACCTAACTTGGCATTTGCTACTCAACAACTAAGTCAGTTTATGGAAAGATCTTCCATTTCTCATTGGAAGGCAGCAACTCATACTTACAGTATCTAAAAGGTACTATGAATCTATGCATTCTATTCAGCTCAAATTCATTTCTACTCTTAAAGGCTTATTGTGATGCCGATTGGGGAACCTGTCCGGATACTAGAAAGTCAATCACTAGGTATTGCATCTTTCTTGGCTCAAATCTCATTTCTTGGAAATCGAAGAAACAAACAACCATTACTATGTCTTCGACAGAGGCTGAATGTAGAAGTATGAGCACGACTACTTGTGAACTTCTTTGGATCTCATACCTTTTGAAAGGACTTCAAGTGTATGAATCTCAAGTCATTCCCTTGTATTGTGATAACCAGTCAGCTTTCTACATAGCAAAGAATCCGATTTTCCATGAACGAACTAAGCACTTGGAAATTGCATGCCACCTTGTTCGACATCACTTTCTATAAGGCTTCCTCTCTCTGTCTCATATTCGGAGTAAGCTGCAAATTGCAAACATTTTCACGAAGGCACTGTGTGCTCCCATGTTCAAGAACCTTCGCTCTAAGCTGTGCATGTACACGCTTAGCTCGAGGGAGGGTGCCAAGAATCAGACTAAAAAATCATCACTGATCAGAGTCTGTGTGACGAGGAAGAAGAGAAAGAAGTTGAAGATGGATAATACTTTCTCAGTGTATATTTAGTGTATATTTTGTACTTGTTAAGGCCTATTTCTTTGCTTGCCATCTTGTAGAATAAGCCCATGCCCATGGTTTCTTTCCTCTAGCTAAGCCTAGATTCTCTCTTCTTCTTAGTCAGTTCATTAGACTTGAATGTATATATTAGAACGCTGCTGCTAAGAGAGAGAGAATACCCAGAAAATTCCAAATCGTCTTCTTCATTCTTCTCACATATGCTTGGAAGATTGTTTAACCGTCATGCATGAGAAAAGTTGTTTGCCTTCTTCCTTTGAGAAGTTAGCATTGTTCCTATGTGCCTTTTCTTGATACCAACAGTCCCAATGAGAATGGTTGGCATTTCGGCATCTTCTACATTTGAAACGGCAGTCCTTCGTGTCATGGTTTGTCTTTTTGCAAATTTTGCAACAAGTTTCAGAATTTGTAACTTGGATATTTGCACTTCTTTCTCCGGGTTTATGGTTCAGACCTCTTTCTCTTCCTCGTTTCTTAAAAATGCCTCATCTTCCTCTTTGATGCCACTTTGAATTTCTACTACCCGACACATTCACCTTTGATTCAAAAGCTTGCTCCAGTGGCTGCTATGATGATTAGCTTATTCTTTCTTCGTGAACTTGCAGTGAACTTGACAACTCATTAAATGTGAATGTTGACAAGTCCTTTGATTCCTCAATAGCCGCCACGACGTAGTCATATTTGGATGGTAGACTACACAAAACCTTTTGCACTACTTTCCTCTTATCGATTGTGTCACCGAGGCTTCTAACTTGGTTTATGATCTCTGCAACTCGAGTGAGACAGGCCTCCATACCTTCACTTTCTTTCTTTGTAAGATTATCGAAATCTCTCCAAAAAGATTACAACTTGATTGAGGTGACTTTATTATTCTCTTGTAAACTTCTTTCAAGATTTCTCAAGCTTGCTTTGCCCTTTTCACTTAATGGGTTCTTGGGTAGATGGTTTTATTCGGACCTTACTGGATGAATCTAAGCTGATATGTATCCCTCTTTACATTCTTCTTGTACTATGTTTGTTGAGCATCAGTCCACCTTTGGGTTGTTTTCAGGTATTCTTCCTCCACAACACCCCATAAACATTAAAAATAGTGTCTCCATTTGATTGCTCCAATAATCAAAATGTTCGGCTTCAAATATAAAAACTTGATTGGGAGTGAAAGCGAACATGGTGGATATATGTGTTAAGGACATATTCCGTGCTCTGATACCAAAATTTGTCAGTGATTCTGAAGATAAATTTAAATTAATGAAGAAATGATGATGCTTGTGTTATTACTCTGGAAGAAACTGATCTTCATCTCACTTATTTATTCAATTACAATATATGATAATTCACATAATCAATAATGAATGAATAACTGATAATACGTTCCAATGTAAATTAATTCATCAATTAATTATTTATTATTTGTGCAGTCTTTTAATTTCTTAAAATGCCTCTTCAAACCTCTTATCTGAAAATTGCAAATTATTAATTAACTCTGAAGCGGGTCGAATATTAACAGCATCTTCAAGAGATAAACAAATTGTTAATCCATGAAGAAGATCAAGACTCTTGCTGGATGATCAACGCAACAGTTCGAGCCCAATCCTTCAATTGTTTCTTCATGTCGGCAGCAGAAGCAGTTGCTGATCGAGGTATTCTCAAATTCCGCAATGGAGATTCGCGGGTTTTTGTGAACCAAGCTTCGGATAAGTATGGCCGAATTATTTGTTCTTCGACGTCGGAATTGTGAGTATTGTCGGTTAATTCGGAGATCTCTTGAGAGCTTTTCTCTTCAAGCTTATATGCGTCGATCCTCTGCAGTCCAGGGAGTAATTTCATCAAACGTTTGGTGAATTTTTCTCTGGGGAATATGAACCCTAAATCCATGAATCCTTTTACTTCTTCAAGTTCGAGGTCTGTTAAGCTCTTGCAGCTCCTGGTTCTCAGGAATTTTCGTTTGTAGTAGCTGGAGTGTTGCAGTTTTTTTGATTGATTTTTAGCTAATGGTGAAGATGATTGGCATCTAGTTCTGCCGGCGACTGCGTATGGATGTGGTAGTCTCTCTTCAGATCTGCTAGTTTCTTTTTCTTCTTCTTCTTCATTATCAGTCTCTTGGCTGCTGCTTTCATCCTTAATTATATCGTTATAATCACAAGCAGAAACATATTTCAGCAAAATCTGATGCAACAGACGCAGGCAGGGTAGGGTAAAATTGAACTAAAATAGATCTCAACCCTAATCATGCGAGTTTAACATATTTTTTGCTCGATTGAATTCTATTCATCAAATAGTTTGTTGAATCAGCTTGACTTAAATCTTCCGAAGCTTAGGTACTTAAATAGGTAATTACAACACACATTATATTCCAATTGAGAAGGAACTACATGTTCATGGTTGTGGATTCATTCTGAATTCAACAAAACATCCTGATATATACAAGAGAGTTAAATCCATAATTGTTTGTGTGTAGTCTACTTACAGAAATTGCTGGAGAATTTTCTTGCTGGGAAGTTACTGACATCTGGGAGGTGTTTCTTGATGAATCATCTGCAGTTTCAGAAGTCTCAGATTGGAGAAACAAAGAATTTTGTGAGAAAAGGATAATCTGTTGAAACCAGAGGCTATCCATGGCCCCTACCAGGCACATCTCACTAAAGGTATCTGCAGCCATGTGATAGATTGTGGTTTTGGTGATAGGCTTTTGGTATATAAATCTAACACTGAACCTCTGTTCTATCTAATCTGACAATGTGGCTGTGTTTGTAATGAAATAGGAAATGAATTCTTGAAATAAAACATGGAGGGCCCTCAAGAAAGTATGCAGATGTGGTCACAAGTTTTGGAGCCATGTTCCCCACATATTTCACATGCCTCATGACTGTGTATGGAAAGATTATCGCCACTGGTTCAATTGGTGTCCACACACTCACTGTATTGGGAATTTGTTCTTGTGTCAAAATCTGTGATAAAAGACAGCCATCTGGAAAGATAAGTTAATGATATGCTCTAATGTTTCCTTTTTGTTTGTTCTGGTGGTTATGGCTATCAATTTTGTGTTTGTTGTTGGTCACGAGCATTATTAACAGCTGACATTCTGCCCTTTTTTAACTGCAGAAAATATCTCTGTTCGAATGCAAAGATAGATGGACCTCGTCATCCCATTTTCAGCCGCGATTATGAGGTAAGAATTCGCACGTTTTCTTGATGCATAATAGTTTGAATTCGACATGTGGGCTGGTTGATGGATGGATATATTCCGGATTGAGCAGTGCAAGTAAAGTTCAGACAGGACAAATAGGTAAGTATATGAGAATACTGAGAATCTAATTTCCATTTCATATGGCGAATGCTCGCTCTTTCTTGAAAGCTTTATTACAGCAAGTGAAGGCCAAATAATGGTCTGAGTTAATAGTCATCTTTAACTGTTGGCTAAAGTTTAATTTTCAAACTTTACTTCAAATATTACTTTGTTGTGATATTAGTATAGGATTACTTAATAGAAATATTAATTATTTCTATGGGTAACAACTATTCCCTTCGTCAGCCTCTAAGGGTCACATTTATTTTTGTATTATTGTACTTGACATTAAAAATATATTATAAGAATCTACATTCTGATATAATAGTTAATATTCACAAAAAGTAAATTAGACACTTAGAATGGGACGCAAGTAGTATTTTATATATATTGTATATATATATATAATATTCTCTGGCCAATAACAATTGATATATTTTTTATTTTTAGTAAAATTTACTAATTTAAAACATCCTTTGCGAATCAATTTAATTAACAATTTGACATATAATATCATTAATCATACAAGACTCACTCAAAACCTCATTATTTCTATTTATATCCTAAAAAAATAAATAGTTTTATCTACTATTAAAATTTCACATCTTTTATTAAATTAATTTGTGTTAATTATAAATAAATAAAGTGTTTTTCTATTTACTTGTATTATAAAATATTTTATTTTTTATAAAATAATATTTATAGTGTATATATTTTTTATTGCGATATAACTTTTAAAATATTTAAATATATATTTTAATTTTTTTTAATATATATATGAAATTTATTTTAAAATTATTAATATTATTAATTATATAATATATAATAAAATAATATCATAATTCACTATTATTAATTAATTAAATACTAATACCTTCTCGCTTAGTTGGTGCAGTTATGTTGGAACTCTACTGTGTTGGAACGAATAAAGTATAATATATACTATAAGTTATGTGTGTGTGCATGTGTGATCGTATATGTTATTATTATTTATATATGTATATGTATGTATGGTATCTTTCTATATAGCAATTAATGTAATTAGATGGAGAAGAAGATAGTGACAGCGACGTGGCATAATATCTTTTAGACATCTGTTTGGTAAAAATGGTGTTCACAGTATTGTTGAAGAATCATGGTTCATATGCGTGTTTATAACACTCCCTTTGGACGCCATTATATAAATAAAGTGTCTCGATAAAATATTACTAAAAAAAAAAAAAAGTTATGGAAAAAAATCATAATAAAGGAAAAAGAGTACAATATTTTTGTATTGATTCGATCATCTTGATATGAGCATTATTTGAGACCGTTTAACCAGCGCATCCAAATTTTTCTTACCAATTTTTCAAATGTTGATGCCTTTGTTAATATATCCGTCAAATTATTATCTGATCGAATTTGTTGTATATCGATATTACTATTTTGTTGAAGATCATGAGTGAAAATTTTTTTTTGTAAACTATATTTCATTTTATCTTTTTTGATGTAAACTATTTTCAATTGGATTATACAAGTTGTATTATCTTCATACAATATAGTTAGAGAAATTTTATCATGAAGTGTTAACCCACAATTTTTCAAAATATGTTGAGTCATTGATTTTAACCAAACACATTCTCGAATAGCTTCATGTATTGCAAATATTTTAGCATGATTTGAAAATTTGGCTGTTAAAATTTGTTTAATCGATCTCCAAGAGATCATAGTTTCGTCACAAATGAATATGTAGTCAATTTGAGACTTGACTTTATTAGAATCAGATAAATATCTTAAAAACAAAGAAAAAGATTTCATGGGGGTAGCGCTGGATTCAGATCAATCCGACGCAAAAACTAATCAATTCATGTCAAGAATATTTTGAGTAAATCTGAAATCAGCTTGCTCGCGAGACAAAATTAGAAAATAAAAAAATACTCCCTCCGTCCCACATACCGTGTTGCTACACTGTAGACACGGTATTTTAAGAGGAATGTACTTAGTGGATAATTAAAAATGTATTAGTGAAAATAATTATCCTATAATATAAATAACTATAAATTAAGATTAAGATAACTAATTAGTTTAATTAAAATTAAAAAAAAAATTAATTAAAAAGTTTAAAATGAGATTAAAGTGTGTAATCATTTTCCAAAAAAGGAAAGTGACATGGAATGTGGGATGGACAGAAACGGCAACGTGAACATGGTATGTGGGACGGAGTGAGTAAAAAAAAAATTGTATTATTAAACTAAATAAAAATGTGAGAAAAGAATGTAGAAAATGAAGTGTTTATTTATTTATTTTTTTTATTTTTTGATTGGAACGAAAATGAAGTGTTTTGAGTGTATGAAATGATGTGTTGTGTGTTATGGTGCATAAAATGAGGGATGAGATGGGGTATTTATAGCGGAAGAGAGAGCTTCAGTTTGGCAATTATAATTAAAAAATTGCAAAAAATATCATTTACGTATATTTATTTATCATTTTTATTTTTTTTATTTATCTCGCTGGCAAAATATATTATATACATTTGTTAGGCATTAAAAATTAAATGTCTAAATTAAATTAAATATCATATATATTAGAATAAAATAAAATTCCGATATAATAAATATGTGATTTAATTATACACATATGTTAATTTTTGTACAATAAATATCAATCATTAATGCAAAAATTTGCTTAAAATGGAAGATATTGTACAAATATTACGTACATAAATAAAGTTATAATAAATTTGGCTGCAAAATAAATTAATTTTGTCAATATAATAAATTAATATCTTCAAAAAAAAAAGAAATAATATAAAGATCTTGACAAGATAGGAAGGCACGCAATCAAATCCTTCAAAAATGGAAAACAAGCAATCAGGACGTGTCACGTGGCATCATTCGAAAAAGAAGCCAAAGCCACCCCTCCCTTATAAATAGGAGTCTTGGCCAATTCATTACACACCGAAGTTCATTTAAAGACTCGCGCAAGTGTAAGTCTCTTTAGACTCTCTGCAATGTTCTTCATTGTTCTTCTTGTCATTCAAAATGTTCTTCGTCGAAAAGTCACCGATTTGGATAAATGATCCAATATTGGTTGACAAATCGATAGAGTTAACGTTTTTCGTCGTATGCCCAAGCCGGAGGAAAGATCAAAGCTCCCAAAGCCATCGAGGAATCCATCAAAGCCAAGGAAGAGCCTCCAAAGTCCCTCATAAAGCTTCAAAATGTCCGTCGCGTTCGTCATCAAAAGCATCAACTCGATCCTCTTGATCCAAAAGTCAAAGGGACACGCTGCCAAAAGCGTTATGAATGACCAAATCTACCTCCTCAAAGATCAAATTCCCTCGGATCATCCAAAGGATACATCAATCCAAATTCGATGATCAAAGTCGCCAACATGGATACCAAATCCCTCCAAAAGCCGACAAAGCCAAACCGAAGACCAAATTCCTTCGGATCAAAAGAAGCCATCCAAATCCAAGTTGGAAAATGAATCGAGCCGGAAAGAGAATCAAAAGATCCAAATAGAGAATACGACTCGCATGTATTTAAATTAAATGTAATTTGTACGATTTTGTGTTTATAAAAATATAACATAATTTTTTTGTCTACAGATTTGGCACGCCCAGTGGGATCACTCTACCTTTCATCTCTCTTCCCGTCGAATTCTCAACAATCAATGGGTTCCTACAAGATCAAGACTTCTAACACTGTGTCGAAAGCTGCTGCTCTAGCCGCTGCCGCCAGAGGAGTCGCTGCTACTACATCAAGAACCTCAAGTGCTTCAACGAATGCTGGAGTGATGACACGAAGCATAGCTAAAAGAGCACTGTCATTTTCCGATGACGCACATTCGAAAATCACAGAGCAAAACCCACTCTATGAGGAGGACGAAAGCTTCAAGAGTACCTCCGCACCGGTCACCCCTTAAGAAACTGCAACTCATTCGACTGCATCAAGTTATGCCCCGGTGATGACCACGAACACTTCAAACAAAGAATACCAACTCGCTACACTAGCCAAAGTCGTTGAAAGGATGTCTCAACACATGCAGCAACAAGACAATGTCATCGCAAAGCTGCTTGCAAAACTAGACAAGCCAGAACCAACCAACCAAAATGCTTCTGAGGCCCAAGATGAAGCGAAATATCCACGGATCAACGCTACGGTAAAGAAAAAATGGCGGGACCAATGCCGTTTCAAGCATCATCCGACTCATTTATCCATCTATCCCAACTTCACGAGTATATCAAATGAGCTCTCAAAAGGGAGTTTGAAGGAAGTTCAAGGCCAACAAATATTTATGCCAAGCCTTACACTTCAAGGATCGACACCCTCAAGATGCCGTTGGGATATCAACTGTCGAAGTTCCAACAATTCGATGGCAAAGGCAACCTAAAGTAGCATGTGGCACACTTCATGGAAACATGCAACAACACTAGGACGTACGGCGATCTCCTGGTGAAGCAGTTCATACGGTCATTAAAAGGCAACGTCTTCGACTGGTACATCGACCTGAAGGCTGGTTCCATCGACAGATGGGAGCAGTTAGAGTACGAGTTCTTGAACCAGTTCTACATCACAAAAAGAACCGTCAGTATGACAGAGCTCATCAAAACTCGTCAATGGAAAGATGAACCAGCAATCGACTATATCAATCGTTGGAGGAGTCTGAGCTTGAACTGAAAAGACCGGTTGTCCGAGGCCTCCGGTATAAAGATGTGCGTCCAAGGAATGCACTAGGGATTGAAATACAACCTGCAAGGGATCCGACCCCGCACTTTCGAAGAACTTTCTACCCGCACTCACGACATAGAGTTAAGTATGGCTTTAAGCGGGATGCACGGACCACCAGTTTAAGAATTTTCAAAAGCAAAAAGATACGAAATATATGGTGCCGCAAAGAAG